CACGACGAAGCACAACGCAAGTGTAGTTTCACGTCGGTTTTCTGTGAGGCCGTGGTATCACTCCGGTCGAGCCGTCCCATTCATGCCGAAGCATAGCTCTCTCACACTTAAAAATTCCTTTGAATTTACTGAAAATCCTGTTTTACAGGACTTGCACTTGTTAGAAATGTATGATAAGTTTGCTTCAACCTTCTATTGTTTTCTATTAATAAAACTATATAAATTCATTGATTTATTGTCACACACACAAGATAATAGCTTATATATTAGACTTAATTTAGTTTAGATTTATAAAATAAAAATGTTGTGCTCATCATACTGGCGCAATGACCGCACAGACAAACAATTTGTGAGAATAATCATGACAGTGATAAATATTTGCCAGTCAGCAAACTCAATCAACCTCAGTACAAGTCAAGAATGAAATGGCATTCTGATTTACGTTCAGGCTAGACTAGGCTAGACGCCGAATACTGAAATGCTAGAGATATTAACATGTTTTTGCAATCTCTTTTTTGAAGTATTAATAGTAGATAGCTAAAGTCATTATTTACATAGTTTATGTATTTAGGCTTAAAAGATATTTCCGCTATGCGAGTTACATCCGAAATCTTTAGTGCCTACAACACTATGTATGTATCTAACTATGTACACTACATAACAATGACACACTACTACAGTAATATTACGTAAGACTGACGTCATACACGTTTTTCCCTGTAACAGTAGATAGGAACGTTTTTATCAGTTTCACAATATAGGGTGGTATCTAATGTCGCCATACGTCATGATAATGTATTATTACTAAAATAAATAAAAAAGTTAAGTGCGAGAGAGCCATGCTTACGAATTACCAATAACTCCTTTTACCCAATCTCCATAATCCCTAAATCCTAGTCAATGAATGATAATTAATCTCGTCATTCCAACTTTGTATCAGAAGTAACATTTATACGGCTACGGGACACTTACCTGTTGATTTAGTTTTCATCTTCATATTGCAATTTGCTTTAAGTAAGTTTCTTACCGCCGTTCTCAGAATCATTTAATTTATACTTAACCCACTCCTTACAAATTGTTTTTAGAACAAAATCGTTACTAAGGAATAGTAATTTAAGTTATTATTTAATGTCTCTGAGTAGAAGAGAAGAATTAGAACCTAACGGGTTGCCGGGGCTCCGACTCGACGTGCAGGAGAATGAACGGGGTGGTTTTTAGTCATTAAGAGTCTGACACTCCCTCCCGCCTCACCCAGATGGGAGCAGTCATTCGATGATTTTCCCCCCTTCAATACATAGTATAAAACAAAGTCGCTTTCGCTGTATGTCCGTATGTATGCTTAGATCTTTAAAACTACGCAACGGATTTTGATGCGGTTTTTTTAATAGATAGAGCGATTCTTAAGGAAGGTTTGTATGTATAATACATGCATATTGCACCCGTGCGAAGCCGGGGCGGGTCGCTTGTAAAAAATAAACATGAAAAATGTTTTTTGTACGGGACCTAATAAGTATCATCATCATCATTTCAGTCATAAGACGTCCACTGCTGAGCGTAGACCTCCCCCAATGACTTCCAGATAGGCTGGTTGGAAGCGACCTACATTCAGAGGCTCCCTGCGACCTTAATCAGGTCGTCTGTCCACCTTGCGGATTGAATTGGAATATGGAATTGTATGATATTAAAGAGTAACCAATGGAGTTTCTTGCTCGTTCTTGCTCCATAGGAATCTACACTTTGGAATGAGCAAATAGCTTCACTTTTAAATTTCTATTGCTGACGTTCAAAAGTGCCTTTCTAGTCTAATTGAAATAAATGATTTGACTTTGACTTTCGTATGTAATAATAAGTATATAAGATACAATTTAAAACGTCAATATCAAACCCATGGCCACATAACTATAAACAATTTTTCTAAGAACATTATCAAGCTAAACGGAAACGCTTTATCTCATGTTTAATTTTCTTACATTTCCTTACGTCACCGCAGCAGATTATCTTCGTATTTAGTTTTTATAGGCAGCATCCTTCCGTGAGATAACGACATGAAACAAAAACATTTTCCTTATTCAGATCTGTTATTTTAGCACTTATTTGTTAGGAAACATTGCCTTTTGAGATCTTTGTTTCATAGAAATTGAGACTTACCTTGCCTGTTGGTTTATTTTATGGACTTAATGCCTTGGGCATCGTATCCCAGTCAACCTTTAACTACCTTTATACCACCTTTATACTTGAGGGTTCTTTTTTTTTAATATTACATTTTTTATTCTCCAGGGACTCCTGTCCGTGCCCTTGTCATTCCATTACATTTTCTTTTAATTTACAGTCAAAGTTAATTGTTACAAAAATACTTGACGGTTTAAAACTTGAGAAGTCGCTGCATCAGTTCCAGCTTCGACTCAGACATAGATTTTGAGATTTATTTAGTTTTTTTATTAGTCGTAAGTACGACTGCCCTTCAAAGCCAGTCGGTTCGATTCCAGGAGATTTCAGGAGATTTTCCATTTTTCCACGACATTTTCCCAATAAAAAAAGAATGAGTTTATAGCACACAGTCCAGTATATTATGATAAGTAACGACTCTCCCGATATCAGATGAGAACTACAACCTTAAATTGTAAGCGATGGATGTGGCATTGTATATGTACAATTGTGCATCCCTGCTTACCTAGTTAGGGAGGAAAAGTCGTGACGTTTATATTAGGAAACTTGCTTACCTTATAAGACCTTTGTTTAATACAAAATGTACGCAAATTGTGTTCGTGGATTCAAGTAACCTATTGCGAAGAAACGGTGAGGTCTGAGGCATAATGCTAAACATGAGTAATGGATGATAAATAATATTCTACTAGTAATTTTGAATATTTTACTATGTTTAACAAATATTGTATACATTTTAGTTTGATAATATCGTAAAATAAATAATTTATGTATCTAAAGGTAATGTAATATTCAATATTGAACCCTATGTTAGACTTGATTTTGATCGCAAGTACTACAAAGAGAACCTTAACTTTCTTCTTTCAAGCCAAGAGTCGAACTGAAAACGTTGAATTTGCAATACACATATATCTCAGCATGGAAAATTTCTGCTCGTAAAACAATCATAAAACCAAAAAAAAAAACACAATCACACAATGCAAAATGTATCTTTCCCAAAAAATAACGAGCTTACACTCAAACATGTAACAATAATAATTCATACAAAGTCAAAATACTCCAAAAATCCCTTTCACAAAAAATTCACGCATATAAATTACCCACAAGAATGTCGTACAAATTTTAAAGCACGTACATTTTAACACAACAATTTTGTCATCAATAAAAGCTTATAAAAAACGGGCTCAAGTCACAAGACGCAATGTCAGTTTCACTTTCATACTGTAGTGATGTAATATCAGCTGACTCGGCTTTCACTGGCTCGTTGTAGGAAGCAAGTTCACTTGCACAGCTGTAGTAAGCAAGTTCACTTGAACGGTCAAGTGCGATGGTGTAAGTTGGCGCTTTGTACGTTTTATGTACGGTATGGTGTGTGGTTGTATGGGAGTTTGAAGAATGAACATATTTTTAGTTGTTAGAAAAAATGACATTCTAACAGGTATTTTTAGCTTCTAATTTAATTAGAATTTAAATTGTCAAACACCGCGAGGACACCGGTGTCCGCACACCTATTGTTCTTTAATTATGTCTTTAATGACGGTACTCAAAGGGAATGAAGCATTGTGACTTCTTCTTTAGAGTGACTGAGAGTGAGTGGAATTCATTTTTGGAGTGTGTTTAGATCATTTAGCAATTTTATACTACCACTACATTAATTTTGTACTTATTAGTCTAGTTTCAGAATTATTTTGTAAATCTTATACTATTATATAAAGTGGAAGAGTTTCTTTGAACGCGGTAATCTCCGTAATTACAAGTCTGATTTGAATAATTCTTTTTGTGTTGAATAGCGCATTTATCGAGGATAGTTATAGGCTATAAAAGATCACGTTACGACCAATAGGAGCTGAGCAGAGCATGTGAAACCGTGCCGAAGTAGCTAGTGTGCAATATGTATATTGAGTTTATTTTACAAATTCACATCTAAATTACAAAACAAAAAGCACAAATAAGTACACGTAACATATCGTAATATTAAAAAGAAAGCTCAGATTATGAGAAAAGCAATCAACGAACATGAAATTCCGGTTTAAACGCATACCTTCGAATTATCAGCTCCATAGAAGGCTCATGATTATGAATTTAAGATACCTTACGTAGGTATGGTGGTGACTGGTGGGATGAGAGAGTTTTGTTACAGTTTCTGTACGAAAAAATTTACTACTTTCATTCAAGTTTTTATTAATAAAAAAAGACGTGTAAAGTGTCAAATTTATTTACTAACGTTTTCATGTAGCTATAATTGCAACTATTTATTATACGCTACAGATAATTCATTTGTTCACATACATGCTATAATAATCTTTTGGTAAAAAATATGTTCTTGGACTTATATTTCTCTGCATCACCCTATGGTTGGCTGGTAGAGAATACCATTCGGCATTAAGTCTGCCATTGTATACATTTGTACAAAAAGTGTTAAATATATTTTTTTTTATGGTACCGGTAAACTAGCTGGCGGATCACCTGATGGTAAACAATCGGCGTCGCCCATTGACACCTGGAGCGTCAGAGACATTGCAAGTGCGTTACCGGTCTTTTGGGATTAGGAATTTGAGGATTGTTGGGGATCCAGGGATTGGGAAAGGTGGGCAGGGGTAATTGGGTCTCCGGTAACCTAAATCACACGACGAAACAATGCAAGCGTTGTTTCACGTCGGTCTTCTGTGAGGCCGTGGTATCACTCCAGTCGAGCCGGTCCATTCGTGCCGAAGCATGGCAAAATTGTCTGGCAAAATAATTTTAACAATAGGTATGGCGTCAACGTGACCCTTAATTGCATAGATTTTAATTATTTGTCTTACCTATATCTAAAGGTGTTTTCTTTCATTCTGCAGATGTTACATCTCTGCTGGGTGTACTACTTCTCGAAGCTGTCAGAGTTTGCTGACACGGTGTTCTTCGTACTCCGTAAGAAGAAGAGTCAGATCACGTGGCTGCATCTCTACCACCATTCGTTGACCCCCTTCGAAGCGTGGCTGCTTGTCAAGTTCATTGCTGGTAAGTTATTCTAAATGATCATTCAGGCGTGTTTAAATATAATAATGACAAAAATAGTCCTCATGTAACGCGCAGCCTACTCTGTACAGTAGGCTAGTAGTAGGTAGGAAGAACCCCTCTGTGGTTCGAAACTAGTAGAGCTTTTTTCAGTATTTTCACGTGAGTAACCCACGATTTTTAGTTCATTTAGTATGTCTCACGATATTTATTATGAAAACAATCCACAAATCGTCGAAAATTCAAAACTCCGTTACCAAAGAAAAGTGAAAACATCTTAAGCTTAGTAAAGTGGGAAATAAATCAAGGTCAAATGTAAGTGGAAGATACGGAAATAAATTGATAACACTAGAGGTTAGTATTTGATGGATTTTTGCTGTCATTCATAGAGAGGTTTCACTTATAACTTATATTTTGTTAGTTTTAACAAATCGATATCATTAGTGATGTTCCAACAATTGATTGGTTACAAAATAAGTGACTGGTCAACTATTGTTTTAATTATAAACTTTCGAGTATCATTTTTCATTCAACTAACATTCTTTCTTTGATACCATAACATAACATCACGCCTTTTATCCTCGAATGGGTAGGCAGAGGTGCACATTATACCACTGTACAATGTAACACCCACTTTTCACTATTTATGTTATGAGTCCCATGTAATAGGGAGTGAGCCTATTGCCATATACTGGGCACAGTCCAGACTCCGTGCTACTACTGAGAATTTTTAAAAAACCCAGTAGTAGGTACTTCGCCCTACCCGGGAATCGAACCCGAGATTTCTTTATTTGGTTTTACAATATTTTTTCTGTGTTCGATGCCACGACCAAGTATTATGAAAATTTCTCAGCAATAACTAACTACTCTTACCAACTATACACCATAGATGCAGTGCTCAGTTTAACTCATTCTTCAAAAACCCCTTATAAATATTGCGTTGCAAAATACGACCATAATAAAACACAATAATTTCAAGTGTTGTAATTTCAACAACGTCTCCATCAATGGGTATTATCCAATATCTCCTTCGCAAAGGTTACAGGAAAAGACATCGTTAAGTCCGATTATATCTCTTTACAATCAGCAAGAGCAATGTTAATGATTCATGATCGTTTTCGTTATATTGTACCTACTACTGTTTTACACGCGACTGTGTTTATTGGGATTCTGATTATGTTTTTTTTGTAATAAATTCATGTATTCATGGTAAAATAACTTTTTAGCTTTTACTATAGATTTAATTATTGTACAGACTTTTTCGCCAAGAACTAGTTGGCAGATATCGAGAATTATCTCAAACTACATAACATAACGCCTTTTATTCTCGGAGGGGTAGGCAGAGGTGCACATTATGCAACTGTACAATGTAACACCCACTTTTCGCCATTTATGTTATGAGTCCCATGTAATAAGGGGTGAGCCTACAATATGACCCTTTTGATGTTGATGCTTTCCAGAAGACACATCGTGTCCCTTATTTATTATCTACAGTATACAGTTAAACTAAGACCCCTTCTCATCATATTCTAGGTGGTCATGGAACATTCTCGAACATCGTGAACAACCTGGTGCACGTGATCATGTACAGCTACTACATGTTAGCCGCGATGGGACCTCAGTACCAGAAGTACCTGTGGTGGAAGAAGCACCTCACTACCCTGCAACTAGTAAGTACCAGTGTAGACTAATTTACTTAAAGATAATTTTACACGGAGATTGTTGGTATTACCACAGAGCATGAAGCGAAAGATTTGATCCTGGTTTATCATTTCTCGTCATGACTTTGTTCCATTATAATGAATAGAATAGAACAGAATTATTATGTATTTGCTCAAAATACATAATATATTTACAATAAGATGATATTAAAACACTAATAAGGTATCCTTGTACATTCTACCATTTTGACATGCAAACATTGATGCAGGTTCATCATCAGACATATTATGACACAGTTACAACTTACCAGCAAAGTAATCAGACACAGAGTAACAACACATGCTTAAAAAGAGTGCTGTTATGCTGGAATACTGAAACGTTACTCAATTTTAAGTTGTACATAAATATCGTGCCATCTCTGTCATTTCACAAATAATTTGTAGAGACAGAACTATACTTAAGCACGACTTAAAATTGAGTAACGTATCAGTATTCCGGCATTAGTTTATTTTACTAAAATTGTCATCGGTTCTTTATTTTTTGAATTAGGAATGTTATTAAAAATATCCGGCGCCATACCAAAAACACATCTCCTCAATACAGCAGTCCTACTGGTAGGCGACACTGAATGAATGAACTGATGATAAAAATTTGTAGCAGATATTATAGTTTTTCAAAGAACAGAACAGTTTTTATACAGAATCTAATCATTCTTGTTAGCGCTAACTACCCATAAATTACAGTTTTCCATTTAACAAACAGTTTTTCCAAACATCTTACAACATTTCACCTAAACTAGTATGGAACCTGGCATCAAACCTACACTTAGTTATCTAGATAAGTCCCTGCACGGTCTACTTAGCTGTTACCTCAACAATTACTGGCACGAACATTACACTGGCTCTCTTAAAACATTTCACAATTAACCGTTTCATTTAGTAAATCAACGTGTAAACGTATAGGGATTATTTAGTGCTGGCTGCGCGCCCGCAGCTGCGGTTGCGTTCTTAAAAGAAAATAAGTTGCCTATATCGCTCTCCAGCCTTCATGTTAAGAGTTCAGATATAAAAATCTAGCCATATAAATACTCGGTTGTCGAAATTATCCTGTTCACGATTTTTGCACGATTGTGTATTTGTAAATATTATTGATAGTCCTAAGAATGTTCATACGAAGAATATGGTATTTTCGACTATTTTAGCCTAATATAATCTGAAACTTCATATTAACCAGCCAACAATCACGAAACGAATAAAGTTATCTTTATTTGTATTCAACAAGAAACTCATTCATTTATTGCTAGCAAAACGATTTGCAAAACAGTAAAATAGCTAATTACTTGAAATTATTACACATATGAATTGCATTTTATAGCAATTATAAACAGCAAATGCACACTTAAATAACCATAGCATTGTTACCTTACCTTATTCATATATAAGTAACTCAATGGTAAATGTAGTCATTTATTTTTTATCGAACTATTAAAATCTACCTAATTATTAGGTGCATAAGGTATATACTGCCATTACTAGTTAAAGTTGCGGTGTTATTAAACGGATTTACATATTCGCAAGTGTTAGTAGTTAATTTAGATAGGTAACTAGGTAGCTAGCATTTTTAACAAATAAGGTTCGGTTACCATCTTGTACTCTTCCTTTCTATCTGGAGTTCTGACGCCACGGTAATTGCGGTGACTTGGCAACTGGCTGCAACTCTTTGAGTGATCCACAAATTATTGTTCCACGTTTGGGTGTCATGTGTATCTGAACTTGTATGTTTGCAAATGCACTCACCACATAGGAACAAATCCGAGTATGGCCCAACGTTTTTAAAAAAAAAGAAATAAAGAAATGAAGAAAAAAAAAACCTGGAAAGAAAGAAAACTAAGGTGTTTAAATAATAAAAGGAGAAAGATTTTCCTTAATCTTGTCAAATATTCCTTATGTGACGTCGTACCTAAACAATGTTTCGCCAAATAATTTTACTAAAGCATAAACCAGCTCTTTAAAATCTATAACATTGTACTATGTTCTACCGCAAATACTTCCGCGGCTAACGTGGAACCACCAATAAGGATCGCACCGCGCCTTGCAGCATTCCTATCGTCCGAGCCGCGTTTGCGCAAACGATAGGATATACCACGCACGACACTGGCATACTGCGTAGTTTTGAAACTATATTTATTCACATATTTCACTTCCAGTACTTAATAAATGGTAATTTCAATGTGTACTTCAACCTACGTATTTTTTATTTCGGGACCATTTTGTTACTGGCAAAATCAGTTAACCTGATTTTAATTTGTATCTTTGGTTAATAGGCAAAACAAAAAATAACATGACTCTCATTCTGAAAAAGATTGGTTTTCTTCCTAAATTTTGGCAGTCTTCTCTCACGACGACAAGAGAAACACATTATATATTTTTTTAAACAAAATTGGAAAGTTACAAACATGGAAGTCCCATTTAAAGATAAACATAACACCACGCCTTTTTTCCCCGATGGGGTAGACAGAAGACACATTACGGCAATTAATGCCAACTATACAATGTAACACACAATTTTCACTATTAATGCTATGAGTCCCATGTAATAGGGGGTGAGCGTATTGCCATATACCGGGCACAATTCCAGACTCCGTATTACTACTGTGTTTTTTTAAAACCGAGATCCCTTGTGCGACAGTCACACTTGCGACCACTCGGACAACAAGGCAGTCAAACAAACAAACCATCCTTAATAAGTAAATCCTTAACAACTCGGTACACGAGTACCTATAGCAAAATATTCCACGCAGTCCTACCCAAGCGTGCGGGGGCAACATTTAGCCACAGTTACAACACGGACCAGCGGAACGCCGTATCCTTTCTCCGTTAGCAAACACACGTTCTATAAAATGTTCTACACTTAAATTAACGCAAGTACCTTAGCTGTCAGGAGTGTCAGCCATCTTGAGTTGCAGTTTAAATAGGTTCATAGTAGCTAAATCGTTCTTTGCTAAATTAAAATAATACATTGTTAAAGTTTATTCGTAGTGTATGAATGTACTGCCTCGTTGGCCGAGTGGTCGCAGGTGCGACTGCCGGGCAAGGGGTCTCAGGTTCGATTCCCGGGTCGGGCAAAGTATTACTGGGTTTTTGGAAAATTCTCAGTAGTAGCACGGAGTCTGGAATTGTGCCCGGTATATGGCAATAGGCTCACCCCCTATTACATGGGACTCATACATAAATAGTGAAAAGTGGGTGGTACATTGTAGTGGCATAATGTGCACCTCTGCCTACCCCTTCGGGGATAAAAGGCGTGATATTATATATGTATGAATGTAGAGACCTCTTGTAGGCAAGAATGTTTTGAAATATAATATTGAAATCTAGTTAAAAGGCACAATTACATATAGAGCCTGTTACTATACATAGCACACATACATAAAAACACTGTCACACAGAAAACGTGAATTCAAAAACCATGTGTCCGACTCTTATTGACTAAAAACCACCCCGATCCTACTCCTGCACTTCGAGCCGGCGTCCCGGCAACCTGTTAAGTCTTCCGGGCTCCGTAACGGCATCAGCCCTGTTGGGCCCCATCTGTGGTCGTCTGATATCATTCAGAATGTAAAATATAACATCATTTTACGGTCTTTCAATCTTTAAGTGTGACGCACTGTTACTAATACAGATTTTTCCAAAAACGTATCTAAAAATGCTTATTTACATCGTTCCTTATAGTACTAAAACATGCTAATGAGGAAATCGCGTGCTCACATCACAGCTGACAAACATCGAAGCATTACATTTTGTATCAACAAACTTTATTCACAAATTGTTATCTATAATTAAATATAATCTTTTCCTACATTTTTCACGAAGGTGACTTTAAAAGACCTTTAAATCTTCCATCATAAAGTTCGCAATTGTAATTCTTTTTAGTAAATATATAACTACTAGCTACTTCCGCGCGGTTTCACTCGCTCTGCTCGGCGCCTATTAAGTAATCGTAGTATAATATTTTATAGCCTATAGCCTTCCTCGATAAATGGCCTATCCAACACAGAAAGAATTTTTCAAATCGGACCAGTAGTTTCGGAGATTAGCGCATTCAAACAAACAAACAAAAAACCAAATTCTTCGCTTCGGTTTATAATATTAGTAGGTATAGATTACAGTAGAATTATTTCTTCAATTGCAAAAATAGCCCTTATTATAGCTGCGTCATAAGGTAAATGTTATATTGCTGTAAAAAACAACAACATTTGATAAAAATAAATGACAAAAACACCAACTTAAAGTTACACAATCACACAAGTAATTTCATACATTAACAATCGTACAATTTACAATTAAATTAAAAAAACCATAACATCTCCGATGATTCCAATTTATTCATTAAAATCAAATTACGGTTGGAAACGAAAAACATATTTGGAATCATCAAGTTCTTGGAAAACCCTTTATCTACCTATATGAAAGTAACCGAAACGACTCATGAATCATGAAACACATTCACAAGGGAAAGTTCGAAAACTTTCTCCACTTTTTAGGGACCCAACAATTCCATTAGGGAACCCTTTATTGAAACATATAGACAAACATAATTGTTTATCCACACAAGTATCTTCAAAATTTGTTGAATCTAAATGTCACTAAAGTTTGGTATGAAAATTGAAAAAAATGTTTTAATATTAGGAAAATGCCTTGAAGCTTTATGTCCAAGAAAATTACAATTACAATCTTGAAACTGATTACACATTAATATTAGGTTTGTCGACGGTAGTATTGTGTTGCATGCTATAATTATACTGATTTTTAAAACAATTAAAATAATATTTTTGTACGGAACTCTTTTCTTTACAAGACAATCGTGTGTTCATCTTTTTATATCTAATTAAATCTACGTGTGTATAATATCCGAATCTTAATTAGGGTATTAACATAACGCGTTCTATCTCCATTGCTGCTTATCCAAAAAGGGCACGAGCGTGACGAACAAACTAAATCATTAGGTTTCTCAAAATTTAGGGCGATTAGATTCTCTTCTTATGTTGTAAAAATAAACAAGTCTTGTTCCAATAGTTTTGTATAAATATAGTCATTCTTAATAGTAAATTATTAAGTAATCAATTACTATAAATGAATACTCAAAACACATTTTTTCTATTTTCCAGGTCCAATTCTTCATGGTGCTCTTCCATTCCATCAGCGCTTTGGTTTACGACTGTGGTTATCCTAAGTAAGTAACTTATCTATAAAAGAGATTAATTTCAAACTAAATTAAAACAAAAACTTGTTGGAAGATTATTTATAATCGTACACGTGGTAAAGAAATTCTCAAAAGACTACAATTTGAAATAGATAAAATTATAGCAAAACATAGAACTAATTTAGAAGCATCTTGCAACACTCAAAACAAAAGGACAGGAATTGCCCAAGCTAGGCAAAACCCTACTAGTACCTAATGTTAGCATCTAACTAAGCAACATGGTATCATGCGCAATGAGCAGAAACTATGTAGTCATATCTATTTCATCTCCATAGATTCTGATTTAGTCATCAAAGCACGATTTTGATGCAAGCACAGATTTTTTTTTCGCTTCTGTTCTTCCGAGGCAGTTTGCACGAAATGCATTTGGAAATGCACTCGCGTTCAGATCACGCTCTCCTTTGCACGCAACATCGATGGTTGCAAAATGAAATGTAAATCGTAGATTTGTCTGAAGAAATACTATAAGTATAACAGTTGTGATGAAAATGATGGCAAATGAGGGTTTGGTGTATGCCTGGTTTTAAAAGTCCTCAAGTCTATTCCTAAAGAACACCAAAATCTATAAATAGTAACAGTATGACATTTCACAAAATACAAGTTCTCATCTGATTTTGCTCAAAAGGTAGTTACTGACTTTAAAATGATTAAAGACGACCTTTAAAATGAATAAGACAAGGATCCTAAACAAGATAATTTTCATTTCGATCATGTACTTTTGTTTCTGGTATTAAATGCTATTCGCTTCATTTCAGATTCATCGCCGGAGGTTTAATCTTACACTCGACCATCTTCATAGTTCTTTTCATGAACTTCTACATGCAAGCGTACAAGAAAGAAAAACCGAGACAGAAGCCTGCAGCTATAGCCATCAACAATAATAACAACGACGAGACTCTCCTACCAAATGGAATGATCAAAAGTGAGACCAATGGACATCTCAAAAATGGTCTTAATGGACATATCCAAAACGGAGGTCTCAATGGACACGTCAGAAATGGTGACCTACACACGACATTAAGAAATGGGGATCTGAACGGTCACCTCAAAAATGAACTTAATGGACACATCAAAAACGGTGACTTAAATGGACACCTTAAAAACGGAGACCTGAATGGTTATCTAAATCATGAAGCCAATGGACGGGTGAAACTAAATGGTCATTTGCAAAATGGTTACACGAACGGTCACGTGATACACGATGTTACAGATAAGGAAAAAGTGCAATAACCTACACTGTGTTGCTAGGTAACATTGTATGCTTTTTATACCTATATCAATTTGTTTGGAGAGTCGGAGATACTTGAGTTTTTATAGAACCCTTCTTATAGAAAAAAAAAGTAAGTCGATGATTAGAGAAAGTATAACTTCTCTAAGTAGGCGTTACGTGTAGCTTTCAATTCGAACTACCACCACGTTCGACGTCATGGCGGCCGACTAAACATAAAAATATAAACCGTGACAAAAACTAAGTACTCGTAATAAACTACTGCTCCATTCGTTTCTAAGACAAGACTTATTAGTATTTTCAAACCTCTAAACAAATGTTGTACAGTTAGAACCAGTGTATAAAGATAAAACAATTATTTCATGTGAGCTATATTTTAAAAGTATAATGGTGCGTCCTAATTCATTTATAAAATCTTAATACCTTCCTTTTTGTAAATAAGTTTCGATAGCTATTTTACCAACAAAATTTGTAAAATATTTTTCTTTGCTTTTTATTTTTCTTTTTTTGTTAACAATTTAATGTTAAAACTACCTCATGAGTGAACTTATAATTAATAAGTTAACTTATAAGTAAAAAGTCTTGAAATTATAAAAAAAAAACATCGAAATGAGGCTGTTGTTGCTCAATTAATTATAAAAATTCTTCTTTTTTTCGTGAAAATTAATTGCTCACAAAATGTTATATACTAAAAGACTAGCCTAAAAGGCATTAGTTACTGTACTTCCGTCCAATACTAAGCTTTATTTAGTTATAAGTAACAATAGCTGTACATAAAAGTTTAATTTATTTTTTGTTTATCAAAGTACAAGAAGTACAAGCAATTATGTTTGATAATTATGTACTTTTTACAAATCCAAGAAATAGAACTGGATATTATTTTTCTTATTTTTTAAACTTGGTTGATTTTTTTTTTGCTGGAAAAAATACAAAAAATCAAGTACCCTTATAACAGTGATTACTAATATAAGTATTACTTATATGTTGTAAATATTAAGTAACATCTTTGAGATTAATTTACAATTTACGTGTGTGATGGGAGTGATATTTGATTATTTTTTACAAAATAATATTAAAGTATATTACAATTTTGTACTTTATTATTGTCGGTGGGTGAATGAGAGGAAACTCTCTTGAAAATAATAATAATTATAAATAAAATAATTGCTATGCTAAGGAAACCAGTCAGTTTTAGCGAAATTTTGTATTAATAAATAAGGTGTTTTATACATACATACATAGACTTAATTATTATAAGTGATATGTGGTAATAATTGTGTAGCGTCCCTTTTATACAATAAGTTTCAAAAATAAATATTTGAAATTATATTTTTTGTTTTGTTTTTTTTTTCTTTTGTTTTATGTGGTTCGTAGTTAAAATATAAAACAGTGCATTCTTCACCTTCATACTTTGTGATAGTACAAATATTACCAAAAATCCCAAAAAGCTTCATAATACTATGCTCCATCCGAAAATTGAATACTTACAAAACAATATTATATATGACTATGATCTACTTCTCACTTTATTACTCAAATGATGACCTATACTTCTCACTTTATTACTCAAATGATATAAATCCCCAAATTTATTCACACAAATGTAGTCTCCAAACCTCGGAAATAAGGTCTATAATGGAGTTAGTGGGGAGTGTTCACCGGTGACCACTTAGGGATTGATCAGTATATTATAATAAATAATCATTTCCCTGCTATACAAGATGCACAAGACATTCTGTTAAAGGACCACTAGTATGGAACTATTACCCGAAACATAATATTAACATCGTGTCATTTTATATAACCAGTCAACAGTGACATCTATCGATTCAACTTAGAAGTAACTAAGTATAAAGTTAACCCACCGACTGCTGCTGTGTGTTAAGTTGGGCTACGTTGTGCAGTAACTTTCACTATGTTTAGTGAGCGTTACACGATTAAATATAGATGCCACTACTGTCTAGTAGATGGTTTTGTTTAAAAAAAGAGGATTCTATTTTTAATTTATTAAATTTTTTATTTTTTTAAAGTCAACGATTTTTTTGTGTTTATTCTATTGTCATGTTTAAACTGCTATTGATTTTAACGTAGATTTACAAATTTAAAGTTATCAGTCTCATTACTTTAAAATTGAAAATGGAAGTATAAGTGTCTGTGACATTCACATATATAAAAATACCTATTAGAGTAAAGCAGAAATTATTTTAATTACATATAATACCAAAAAGTCCTACTATAAACTGTTCAATAAAAGAATAACAACACCAGGAAAAATTCAAAACAAATAAAATTAATTATTTTCGAAAAACATTTTAATTGACATCAAAAAAAGTAATTTCCTTTAAAACACATTAACGCACACATTTTCCTTGATAGCTAATTAAAAGAATTAATTGCTGAGAAAATCCGACTTTTAAAATTTAACGGTGTGTCGATAACAACTCGGACCCTCGCTAAACCTTAATTATAGCCCTGCAAAATGTCAATAAACCTGACATTGGTACATTTTTTCTTCCCCTTTCTAATTTGTTAGCCCTAAATTCGTAACCCTATACTACCAATTAAACGGAGACCTTTAAAACTAACTAAAAAGTTCCACTATAGAGTTCATGTTACGCTAGCCATGTGACACGTATTGAGAAGGGTAGTTGCAGGGTAGGGACACGCACCACTCTGTCACCTTTTGTAAATGATGGTGGGAAAGAGACAGCAACATTTCTGCCCTTGTTTATACACGTTACGTTTCACGTAGAAGAGAGGCGATTTGACGTTTTGTGTTCCCAAAAATAGCGGGTGATTCTAAAAATAAGTAAATGTAGTCAAATTAACAGGAATTCTAGTTGTCAATTGTTTAAAAATAATTATGGATAATGGTAAATGAAACAGAGGAACTCAGAAGCAATCAGTGTTTGAACAAAAATTACTGTCGTTAATTTCTGTTGCATAACAGATAAATAAAATTAACTTATTTTGTTTTAAGGAAACAAAAAGGTTAGCTACAAAATGAAGAAAACTATTTCACTATTAAAAAGTCTGTTATAAAGTTATACTTAAAACTTGGAATTAAAACTTAATGAATGCGTAAAAGTGGTTATTTTTATTTAATTACTTGTTTCATTTAACATTAGCATCCCTTAGTATCATCACCACAAGAAATAAAATTACAGTCATGATAACAAAGTAATTCTGAGAATTGACAAAACACAAAAGTAGTCTTGTTATGAAACCTTTACACCAATCAATATACCCCGTATAACGGAACGTCTGTTCGCCGGCCGGGACGAAAACCCTAGCCAGGGGTAGGTACTTTGAGTCAGTCGAGTGCGCGTTGTTGCCGCGCACGCACGCGCGTCGCGTCCCCGCTCCCCACAGACACACAACAAAAAACCACAAAACCTTAACAATCAACCTAACGTGAATAACATTAGTGCTATAGTGTACCAATAAGTGTTATTAGTTAACTGTTACAGTGATACCATTCAGTGACTCAGTGGGAATCGCAACAGAACATCGCACAGCGTCCAACCATAATGATATAAAACATTTTCTACGATAAATCGCTTGTTACTGTGTTTTAATCGGTAATGTGCTGTCTTTGAAGACTGCTTCTGTTATATTTTAATGTATTATGTCCACAAACCGCAGTGTGGGGGTGGAAATCTATGGAATATGCTAATAAGTTGGTTTCTTTTAACCCGCACACAAAAAGCTCTGCACTAGACACTGCAGTGCGATTTGTGTTGCAAATTCACCAGAATTTATATCTTTTCCGTCTGTACGTACTATTTCATCTATTTTCATTAAACAAACTTGGAGTTTTGTTCTGTTTCTGTGAGTTATTCGGGGTGGCTGTCCTAATTCAATTTCGAAATTTTTGTTACGAATTTTGTTATAATCAAATCTAAATTGTTTCGACTGTGTTTGAATTAATTGGTACTTCGAATTTTGAAACAGAATACTACGAAGTTGACAAATTTCCAGTCAGCAATTCGATTACAAACAATTTTCTCTTCATAATAGGAACGGGTAGTGTCATTTCCTTTGTGCCAATAGTCTATTTGCTCTAATTTCCTGCTTTGCTAGTTATTAACGTGTCTGCATCAGATCTAGGTTTGAATTTGTCGAACTCAATCGGTCTATTAGATTGAAATGATTTGTAAATGAATTTGAATTTCAAATCAATCGGTTATTTGTTTTGTTTCCAAGAATTGATTGTCTTTTTAGTAAACATTGCTTTACTCAGAGACAATTTGGGCTTAATGATTGCTGGAGCAGCAATATTAATAAGCGAACGAATTGTATGTGTGTTTTTATATCCAGTCTTTTTTGTTGTAAGGGAAGGCATTCGGATGACGTCACACAAAAGGCTCAAAGCGAAATGCCGGTATGTTAATATTTGAATAGTACAGACATTATGTAGATCCTAGACGATAGTCCCATACAATAAAGTAATGGTGGAATTAAAGATGCAGTTTGAAAACAATGGATAAAGTACAATGTGGATACAGAGATGAGAATACCTCAAGAAACAAAACTTATTTGAATGCTCGGTGTGTTCCTTATAGAAAACCACAATAATATTCATTGTGGTGTAAAATAGATTGAATAAATTGCATCTGATAACAATCAATCTTCCATTGTTCGGCTACGCAACCATGAACCTTAATGGTTTGTATGCAATTTCAACAAATAGAGACAACAAAATAATTTTACATGCACAAATATTTTATTAGAACGCTTGGGCTTCCTAAGCAATATAGACATAATAGTCTTCCAGTCTTCAAATATCGTTAATGTTAAAATGGACGAATGAGACGAATTCAAACAATTATTAGATTCTATAGACGTCCTGACATTATGCAATGAACGATCAGATAACACAAATGAACTGGGAAGCACAGCTACTTATCAATAAAACGAACTAGATTGCGAATAGAAAGACGATCAAATTTCCATTGGAACTATTATATACTCCGTAACCCAGACCTTGGCAGTAAAACCGAATCGATATGAAATTGATAACCCTGTGGAATTCGAACAGGTATTTAAATTCGAGTTTTGAAACGTTTTAATGCTCATGATATTCAGCAGCATAACGTGGCTTTCGCTTTTTGTGTCGTAAGGTTTGATGCCTTGGTCTACGATTGTCTATGTATATCATTTCCTAAAAACATGCATTATCAACAGCCTATAAATGCCCATTGCTGAGCAAAGCCTCTTCTCACATGGAGAAGGTTTGAGCATTAATGACCACGCTTGCTCAATGCGGGTTGGCGATTTCAAACTTATAATTAGAAATTATAAGCCCCACTTTTTATCACTATGTTTTCCTTGACCGTTAGTCAGCGGTGTCTAGATAATCTTAAAAGGTACATATAACTCGGAAAAAGTCACATTACAACTTACCGTTGGTAGGTTTTGAAGCCTTCTTCTTCACCTTCATGCATGAGAAGAGGGACTTAAACATACGACCCACCACGACAAAACATTGATCTTTAACTATTGCTGATTCATTTATGTAGAAACTCCGTGTCTTTAATAGTACATTGTCTTACTCACATTTTTTAATATATGCTACGACTTTTATTGACAGCCTTGATTAATATTGAAGACTAATCTTCAATTGGTCATCGCTTAGTTTCTGATTGAACAGTTTAGTATTTTTTGAAAACTGATAATCATATCAGTACGTAACTAAATAATTATTAACAATTCTTTTATTTATGATGTTCAAGTGCAAAATCAGTATGTATATCAAACTACTAGGAAACCATCAATAAATAATTCACAAATCAAATCTTGGAAACGATCATTAGAATCAGCAAACCGACCCCAGAGATCACTTGGTAGCCTACAATGGTTTTTATCTGAGAAAAGAAATACAAATCGATTTCCTTTCTTCCTAACGTTAGGCCATCCTTTTGTTATCATAACGATCTTTATGAATAAATCTTTGCTTCGTTTTATTTATAATTTTATTGGTTTCTCTGAAATAGTATTTGGCTAGATTTTAGACGTACTCAGTATTTATTACTTACGTTTTAGTAAAACGATGTTTCTTTATACGAACGGCTTCCTTGATTATTGATCATAAGCCCGTCGGCTAACAAGAAGATTCTGGATCCACGCATACAAGGATCAAACACATGTTTTTCGCCATTAAGGTCATCAATCAGTTTCTTGTTTTTTTGTCATCAGATCAATTTCATCAGTGAATTTACAATTTTCTTTAGATTTATAGCAATGACTGTTAATGTAATACCTTCGTTGAAACATCTACTACCCGTCTATTTACTAGTGTACATCCATTACCGTAACCTTTATATTGAATGGCTTTGTTGTCGTATAAGAAGCTTTAAAGGTTCTCACGAAATTCACATTGACACGGTTTGAATGCCATTTTGAATTGTTCTAGCAACCTGTGTAAGGAAAGTTCATTATAGTTCACTGAAAAGGAATTTTAGAGATTTTCCCTCGGTTTGAGTAAAGATACAATACATAAAACCGTAAAATTATATATTTTAACATATTTCGATAAGAAGAAAGAAGGTAGCAAAAATTAATTTCGATAAAACAACAATAGCTTTTGGTTAAAAAAAACAGTGTGTATCGAACTTCCCCACCAAGCTTAAAAATGATACAATTTGACATTAAATCGGTTAGGATAACTAGAAATACCCTGATACTTATACCACTCACTAGTATTCTCTCTAAGAATGATAATATTCTTATAATTTACTAAATTAATTGCCAAAACGTCAAAACATACGTTGAAATCATAATAATAATCATTAGACCTTACCTCAATAAAGACAAGTTACCTAAGTAAACAGGGCAATAAGATTGAACATCAATAATATTTGTATGACACATGTTTTACTAACCTTACAACCTTTTGACTGATAAGATAACCTCAAAAGTTTCGGAAATAATAAAATCACGAACTGACAATACGGTATTAAGAACTCCGTATCAATAGAAACTATTTTTAGCTCAATAGACAAAGTAAAGTTTGTTAATGGAGAAAATAGAGATTTGAATGCAACAAAAGAAATAGTGATACGGGCTTCAGTGCCGCCAAAATAGAATAAAACAGTCAACTTTAAAAATAAAACAGGAGAGATGTCTGAACGATTTCTTTCTCATCCGGAAGTTATCAAAACAACCGGTTTTACTACAACAATGAGGCCGGTTCTTGTAACCAACCTTACACGGGAGAAAGCAGAAGATGAAGTCTTTACAAAATCTAATCATAAGCACGACTATAAGAAAACAAAGTGCCTGATAAATGTAAATGATCTTATTAGTTTACATTGAGAACAAATTAAAATTGACGAAGATAAAAAATTAGCAAAGGTTATTCTAAAAAAACCCCAAGTAGCAATGGAAGGCAGAAGAAGAACTTGAAATGTTATGAAAAGTATTACTCAACTTGTAAATTATTACAAGGAATTGTACTAAGCAACCGTTATAAAGGAACAAACCGAAAAAAATAAAAAACGAACAAAACGAAGATGATCCTAAGACAGTCTAGTATCAACCAAGGCCTAACCTCATTCAAAAATGAATCTAAAAATATAGCACATTCAGCTCATTATCCGTTAAAGTTACTATAGCTACATGTTGTAATGGATGTTCTGATTTGACTATGTGTGTACTCATCTTCGTTTAGATCGTGTGTGCGTATGCGGCGATGTTGTGGCATTTTTATTGGAGCAATGTTTATTTATGTATTGGTTGCCTTTGTGTTATTTGAAATTGGAGTAAGAAGTTGTTTATGGACTTTGAATATTGTATAATTTACTACGTTATTTACTGTTATCAATTTGTTTTTTAAGTTCCTTCAATGTGTAGTTCTATTAGTTTTCAAATTTATTCTTATCATTGATTTAGTAAGTTTTTATAGCAATTTAGAGTTAAGTTATTTGGAGGTAGGTACTAGGAAAAACAAACTGTCTCCAAAATTCTGTGTTATATTATACGGTTACAAAAATTGTTCTTACATCATAATTTAACGATCCTCAACTAAAAATATTCTCAGACTCTTAATTTGTATTCTGGACTTAAGTTGCCATAAAATTGAGTTTACTAATAAACCAACGGCTAACTACATATAAAAAGTTGTTGACAGGCCTTTTTAATTCTGTACGCTTCTCTCTGTATAATCCATCGTCTATTTAGCCTTCAGGCATCATTGGCACTCAATTCAAAATGGATTGCGGATCTAAATATGAACAACTAGAATTTTTTATAACAGTTTTGATCTCTATCATTGCTTTTACAATTTGTTTGTCGAACAATGGAATCAGTTCTTAAATTAATTTTGTTCTTGTGTATGCGTATGAGTTGATTGAGGTCACGATCTGTCTACTGTTGTACGGTGCATTTTTTCAGGCTAGCATTTGTTTGATCTCGATCAACAAGCTATCAAGCCAACCCCGTTGAGTTGAGGTTTTGTGTAGCGGGAAATTGGACACCGGTACTGTATTTGTGTGAAAGAAAAAAGAATGAAACAACAATACCCAATCAATCCTGACTCATTCCATTGCTGTCCTATTTAATGACTTGTTATATCAACCAA